GCCAAACATGTTTTGTTTTCATTTCAGAACACCACATTACAAAACATTTGTTCTGTTCTAGGATAGAATATTACATTACACCACAGAGCACACCAAACGGGCCCTTATGAAGCTACTCTTCTGTGGGTTGTTGGGACTTTCAAATTGTTCAAAATAGAGTAGTACTCTTGTGTGTGATTGTTTGTAAAGCTCAACCACTACCCTTCTGAATGGTACATGGATACTAACATGCAGTCAATTTTTTCAGTCTGTCCTTTCACACACACACATCAGGTCTGCGCCCCTGTCAATAAATGATGCTAGCATGTTTGTCCATTTTTCCAGTCAAAGTGCAGACGATTCCGGTGTGGGCATGGTATTTTTTTTTTCAATTTTTATTTATTTATTTTTTGACTTGTAGGTTTTTTTCAATTCAAGTGCAGCTGATTGATTGTGATTTGTTTTGTGTTGCGATTGTAAAATTCGTAATGTTGCTAAGGAACAGGCCAGATCATGGATTTCTGAAAAGCACTAGGTAAGGAGATGTCCAAGCAGCATGAGAAACCAGAAATAAAACAAAACATTAATCCTCAAGTACTGAAACCGAGTGTATCTTTTTAACTTGTTTGAATATTGAGTTTTCACTGTTCAGAAATGTCGAATCTCTATCACCAGAAATAAAACAAAATATTTATCTTATTTTAAACGAAATTATTTTTTTTAATTGTTATCCCAATTATGTTATTAAAAGTGCTTAAATTGAATTATCATTTAATTTATTCATAATTAAGTAGTGAATTGAATTGTCAAACATTATTGAAGTCAATCTCGCCATCACGTACTTTCTCACAATTTCTTGATCTAAAAAGAGAATACAATTAGAATAAGATCTCAAAATTTTGCGGTTTGGACAAGAGATTTATGTATGAAAAAAACACTCACCACAAATAAATTGTTTTATTTTTTAAAAAAAGATAAGAGAAAAAAAAAAATTAGACAGTATGCTATATTAATGTATTTACAGACGAGCTTTTAGAAATAGAGTAAATTACACTCCATCACCATGAAGGTCATTCTAATTATTGTTGAAAATAGGGTCATCTCTTTCCGTGTTAAATAGAAAAGGGTAACACTACTTCTTTCTTTTTCTTTTGAGTTAATTACAATGACACCCATTGAAGTTTGTCCTAATGACAATTATATACAAATTAATCTCTTTTTGAACAATGAGATCCCCTTGTGTTTGATAAAGTTAACAAGAACACCCCCCCTCCCCCCACAAGCTAAAATGACCTTAATGCCCTTTCACTTGTGCATTAACCCATTTGAATTATAAAATTACCTTTTTAACCTTTCTAATCATTTCAATTGACCAATTTAGCCCTCAAACCTCCACTAAAGCTGAGAAGCCCTTACACAGATTTAATCAGCTCTGCGATCATGGATTCTCCATCGGAATTTCAGTTCACATCCCTGTTCTCGACGATATCAGCCTTCCATCATCTCCATCCTCCAATAACCCATCAAGCAGCTCCTCCTTAGTCGTCGCCCCGATTGCGACTGACACATTCACCGCAGGTCCGGTGGTTCCCTGACGTCATTAACGCCATCGGCATCCCGGGAATCATCTTCAACGGCAGTTATTGCTTCGCTCGTGTCTGCGTAGGCGAAGGTCGAGTTGTTGGCAGCAGCAGTGAACCCCCAAATTGAGGTGTGGTTGCCCATGGCAAATCACGATGTCGTCACGGAGATGAAAGTCATCGCTAAAAGATCCGGTGAGTCGAAGAACGAGATCCTTCCTGACGCCGACCTAGCACTGGCTGCAACAACTCCAACGACCGCTTATCCTGCAACACCGGCGGCCGCCTCGAGTGCATTGGCCTCGGTGGCGCTACCCTCGCCCATACCACAGGTGTATCAAGTGACCAAATAATTTTTTCCCTTTCTCCCTAAGTTTTCTCTGTTCTCTCCATTGATTCGATGGGTTTGGGTTAGATAGAAGGTGATGAGTGAAGAAAAAATGGGTGGCTGGTATTGATCTCACACAAAGGGCAATTTGGTCTTTAAAGAGTTTTGATATTTTATCATTAATAGTAATAAAATATTAAAGGACAATTTTGACTTTTCATAACCTTTTAGGGGTTGTTTGGATGCAATTTTTGATAAGGGGGTGTCATTGTTCAAAAAAGCTCCAACTTGTATATAGCTATCAATATGACAAACCTCAGGGGGTGTCATTGTAATTAACTCCTTTTTTTTTTCTTTTGTTATTTTATTTTATTTTATTTTTAAATTACATTTTTACCTTGGACTGTCATTTCTCTCTTCTGAAAAAACAGCCCAAAATTCACAAACTTAACTCACTGTTACATTTTTCATTTGTTACTGTTAAAATAGATTAATAGTAGCAAACTTTAGTAATGGGTACGTGTGCACACACACACAAAAATAAAATATAATATAATAATAATAATAATAATAAAATTATGCTCAATATCTATCTATTTCCCTGTATAATTATTGCTCTTTTTTCTCTTTCTCCTGTGGAGCAAGAAAGGCAGTGTCCTGCTTGAAATTGGAATTTACTTTCTCCCTAGAGTTAATAATGTTTGGTTATAAACATAAAAAAATAAAAAATAAAAATAAAAAAAAATAAAATTCGGGCAAGAGAGAATGTTAGTATTTTTCAAAGAATTTAGAATACCAAATATATGGTGGTTGTGCATCAAAAGCAACATGCAGTGCTGCTGACAATACTTTTAAGTCATATGCTTATTTTTTTTTTAATGTAAATGATAAAAGAAGCATGAAATTTAAACCACATTATTATAAAGAGTTGGCATAATTAGAAAAGACTTTAACTTCGTATCTCATCAAATATCGAGTTTCAGAATTGATTTTTATCAGATACAAACAATTTCTAAAAAATTTGAACCACAGTAGAACATATTAATGGAGGTCCTCCTCATCCAGGAGTACAGAGGTCAGAACAAATTAATTATGCAAGATCATTCTTAACTTCGGTTAATCGCACATTACATTGATTTGTATGCTTTTATGCAAGATTATTCTTAACTAGAATGACCTAAAAAACTGATCGCCTGGTTGACATAATGAGCAAGAGCTGAAACATCAAAAGACTTAGATGACATGAGAAATTATTGAGCAATAATAGAATCTTGTCGAATACAAATAAATTAAGGAATAAAATTAAATAAATGAAAAAAATCAACTGATATTAAATTAGATCTGTATTCCTAATTGTCTCAGCCTTTTTAGACTTGTTAAAAATTTCAACAAACATATAAACTAAAGCTTTAGTTTTGCAATGGTGGTTTTACAATTCGTTGAACTAAAATACTCTCCTTAGTGAAGTTCGTATTTTAATTGCGTACTTAAATTCAAATAGGATTATAGGACAAGTGGATTGGATACATTTGGCCTCAACTTTTGGAAGCCATTAATTTGGATTATTGGGCCCAATTTGGAAAAAGAATGTTGAAAATTGAGAAATATATATATATATATATATATATTTTCAGTTTTATTAACACAACAAAAAATTGGGCTAGTAGATTGTAGAATTGGTCTAAATTTTGTGAATTTCTTTTAAAAGCTTCATGGTTGAAGAATTTCAATTTACTGATAGAATCAAAAAGTCCAAAATATGGAAACGATGAACTTGATTTGAATATCAAATGAAACAAATTATATATATATATATATATATATATATATGGGTCAAGTGCAAATAATTTCTTGAACTTTTAGCCAATTGTACAAAACTCCCCTGAATTAACAATTGCCCCGTTGAACTATGATAAAGTTGCAGTTAAGGACATCAGGTGAGGTTCCGGCATCGGAAAAAGAAGATTACAATATTACCCTTAAGTGAAACTACGTCGTATTAGTACGGTCTTAACTCAAATCTTAATTATCCAATAAAATTGTGACAACACATCATTGCCTTATCACCTCATCCTTGTCACCGCCAAACACGGCCTTATACGCAAGGCTTTCTCTCTCTACGCTCTATTTTTCCCATCGTTGACGACGTTTGTCGACCAAAAAGGTTTCGCCTGGTCTATATGATGCTCACCAAAAAGGTTTGTTGGCTGTAGCCTGTATCTGTTTGTGTTCACCGGAATGAGACTCCACTGGTTTGTTCGATTATGGAATTTAAGGTTGGGCTCTCGTCGGTTTCATTGCTTATTGATTTGTAGAGCTTCTCATCGGCGTCGGCAGTCATGGAGTTTGAGGTTGAGCTCTTACCTGTTTTAATGAAAAAACCTTCATTTTGATTGGAGTGGTCGGAAACAGTTCCAGTGTTATCCCCTTTGGCGGGCACTGTGCCACCCTTCAATTCTCTCTTGCTATTCACAAGATCGTCTCTTTAAATTCGCCTCTTTAAATTCGCCACATAATCATTTGTTAACTTATTACCTTTCTAAAACAATCAATTACTGAGTTTGAACTCATAAAAACACTTCGATCTTGGGAATACAGGGATAAACCAAGAGGCAGCAAAGACTGATTGTATCAATTTACAGGATGTAGGCCATGGTGAGAAACGTGGCGGTGCCGGCTCAGAGCTCCATCATCAAAGCGGTGCCGGCTCGAGGACTCAGCCGCGATGGAGGGGTCGGCTGTGAAGAGGTCGACCGACTGAGCAAAGAGTTGAAGCGGAAGGACGGCGGTGGGGAAAGGACGGCAGTGAAGCGGTGGTTGGCACGGTCGGCAGAAATTGCGAAATCTGGATAGAAAAAGTTGGGATTTTCTCAAGAAAAATTTGGATATATTTTCCTTTTTTGCGGGTCAGTTTGTTGGTAAACAGGGATTTGGGGTATCGGAACGAAGACATGGAAACTCCGTACATCGGAGTTTGGAAACTCCGATTTCACAGGGCGATTCAATTCATCGGAGTTTGCTACGTCGTCGGCGGAACAACTTATGGGTTTGGTTTGGTATGGTTTTGTTCGCCGGAAGTTACAAAGGTGAAACTTCATTGTTATTTGTTGTTGGCTGAAAATTGCAGAGTTCAATCCGGCAAGAGTACAATTTCAACGAAACCCAGAACAATGAAACTGAGATCCAGTCACGATGACCATCCAGTGAGCTCCAAGACATACGTGCGACTCCGGTTCATCTTCTTCCGGTAAGCTTGGTCTGACCTAGCAGTGAGTTTTGGTCCGGCAACCGAACACTTTGTTCGTCGTCCTACTCCTTTCTCTCTCGAGTCTTTACCCCTTTCTCTATATTACTATATACATACAGCGACCCACTCACCACCGTCGCCGTCTATTCACTTTGGATGTGCTCGGGATGGTGACACTGTATTGCAACGACCCACCCACCACCGCCGTCAATTTGGGAATGGAGAGAGAAGCCAAGGGTATTGTTGATGAGTAGATATATGAATGTGCTTGGGAAGACTACGCTGTATGGCAGCGACTGCCGGCGGCTATGCAAGAATTTTTTTTGATTTTTTATACCTTTATAATCATAAAGGGCTGTTTTGTCATTTTTTATTTTCTGTAATTGTGCGTGAATAACACACCCCCATTTAACGGTGAGAAATAGCCGAAACTTCGCCGGTGGGCATTTTTAGCAAAAAAATTGATAGTTCAGGGGGTTAAGTGTAAAAAAAATAATTCAGGAGTTTTTTTTATGGAGAGAGAGTAAAGTTCAGGAGTTTATTTGCACTTTACCCTATATATGTATATTACCAAAATACCCTTCATGATATGTCAAAATAATACTTCATGCTGATGTAAGCATCCAACCCTTAAAACGACCGGTGTGCTCCTAATTCATCGTCCCTGACATACTCTCTCCCCAATATTGCCCCTCAGCACTGCTCCCCCTCTCTGCTGTCGCCGCCGCTGCCGCCACCGCCACACCCCACCTCTCTCTCTTTCTCTCCCTACCACCCCCCCCCCCCAAACAGTTCCTTCTCTTCACCACCACTGCCCTTTTCCACTCCACCGCTCACTCTCTCTCGACGCTTCACCATCTCTCTGCTATCATCATCACCTATCTCCAATAAAGGTTTGTCGATCGAATTTTTTTTCCAGCTGACTTGTTTATGTATATGTATGTACCTCTATACTTGTATAAATATATTAATTTATGTTAACACTAGTTTTTTTTTTTTTTTTCGAAAGGTTTATGTTAACACTAGTTTGTGGTAGCAGAGATGTGAACCTAACCAACTAGATACAGCAACTTGAGTAAATAATAAGTCTAAATCTGGTGGTGCCATCAATGGTGGTGGAACAATGGAGTTTCTGTTAGGGTTTGAAGGAGAAAATAATGGAAAAGGTGTTGCGGTGGGCTGCAGTGGCGACCGAATGATGGAGTTGCAATTGGGATTTGAAGAAGGAAGGAGTGGATATAGAGAGGGAATGGGAACAACAGTGGTGGTGGGATGGGTCTTGATCAGAAGACATCTTTACCTCCACTGACCTCCAGTGCCATCGAATGAAGTAGGGCTTGAATTGGATGGAAACTCGTATCTGAGTGGTTGTCGAACGATCTCTCTGAGGAAGGAGATGGGGGTGGTGCAGGTGAAAAGAGGTGGCAGTTGTTGCGGTGGTGGAGGTGATGGCTACTGGTGGGGATTTGTTGCTTATATGAATATTATGATGTATATGTTATATAATTTATGAATATATGTAATTTATGCTGAATTTTTTAATATATGTATAATTTCTTGTATATTTGTTTATTTCTTATATGTATATGTTTCAATTTTATTTATGTATTAGTTTTGCATTTATAAAATGAATTTACCTTGCAAATTTGCAAGGTAATTATAAAATTATTGCCAAGTGTTAAAATATCAAGTCTTATCTAATTCAAAAATTACCAGCAGGTGGAGGGTTTGTTATTTAATTTTGTAAATTTTTCACTTAAAGCAAATTTGCATGGTAATTATTATTACCTTGCAGAGATTATGTAATTTTTATAAGATTATGTAATAGGTGATTTTTGCTTAACGTAAATGTACTATTATTTATAATCAAGTATCTCTAGAGAATGTGTTGCTCTTGTTATTCTAGTTAGAAAGGAGCATTACATGCACTACAGTTCTTTTTTGTTTTTCTTTTTCCTGTCACAGTTTCAATTTTCATATCCTTCTTTCAGTATTTTATTATTTTATTTTATTTTGATTGTCTTGTCTGGAATGGAACTTTCAATTATATATATATATGTATATTCCTCAATAATATAATCCTGATTGTTAAGAAAATTGAAACAATGGCAAGTTTGTTCACTTTGTTGTGGCTATTGGTGCCTGCGGTTCAGTATGGAAACACTTTTCTTCTTTTAAATTTTATTTACTTTAAAATTCAAAATGTGCAGTTCTTATTACTTCTGCAATTTCATTATTTATTCCTGAGATATATGTTTCTGTGCAGTTTTAGGGAGTCAATTTTGACATTAACAGAACATGACGACAAACAGGTACACTCTCTAAAATGTCTTTCTTTCACAAGGTTTGTGATATTATAAGGTGTGCATGCATGTTGGTGTGAATGGATGTATGCTAGATTTTTCTAGTCATTGCGGTGTACAAAGGGAATATTTCTTCAGTAATGGTCTACCATTCTTATGTGCCCTCTTTTTAAAAGGTTCTAACTGTCTAAAATTTTCATTTCATCAGTTGTTAAAATATTAACCTTGATTTTTTTTTTTTTTTTGATAATTAAGATTCACTAAAAGCGTTCAAAAGGGGAATGCATCCCTAAAAAACTACACAAGGCCAAATAGGGCATCTAAATCCTCAACAAATCCAAAAACTCTACAAGCTCATCCAAGGATTTACAAGTTCTTCCTAGGACCCAACAAAAAGGGGTGCTAAGAATGGAGAACTTCAAGGACCCAATATGGAAGCAGCTTTCAATCTTCATTATTTTATTCCCCCTTTTGTTGTCTTCCCTACCTCTTAAATTGTTAGGATCAATTTTCTTTTCTTGTTTTATTTCTTAAAGCAAGCAACGTTTGCGTCATTGCAATTTTTTCTGCCATGCTATCAGTATATTGGAATTGACATTGCATATAATGATGCATCAAGATACAACTGTTAAGGCAACACATCAAAGGCACTTGCATCGTGTAATGAAATATGAAATCGGTGGTGCATGCTATATATTGATTAGACGGACTTGAGAGCATCTAAATTCATTATTGGTTGTCAGGTTGGATGTCAACTGCTGTTTGGATTGTCAAACTTTGACTATGCATATCAACCTGCGTAAATACCTTTTTCTTCTGTGCTTGGTTGGATTCAAGTTTGGTTTCTTGGTGCTCATATTAAAAGAAGACTTGGGTTGATCTACCCTTTTTCCCATTTAGCAAGACCTTGAAAAAATAGATCGTGTGCATTATAGTCTATAGGCATATAAGCTGTGAATTTTTAGTTTGGGTGAAAGCATAATATTATCTTTATCTGAATATGGTTTTTTTACGGTTATTAGGGATTGGTGCATCATTACGTGTTTTTTCTGTGCTATTTTTAATTTTTTGGCTACATTTTACTATCACCAGAACTTACAATAGATGTCTTGTGCACTTTTGTGCTGGTTTATTAGTTTTTTACTTTTTAATTTTATTTTTTTATTACGATTTTAGATTTATTTTGATATTTTAAGTAACTGAACCATTAGGAGATCTCCTCTTTTATATTCCTATTTCCGGTTAAATATTGTTTTTGCCTTTAGATGTGATTATTGATTTAATGCATTTTACTGGATGGATTCATTGTGTTGATTGTTTACTGCACGTACAGGTCCATCAAATTGCACTGAGCTTCCGAGACAAGTGGTTTCCTAGACAACGTGCCAAATTTAGCTGCATGGAAATGGATGATAGTGGGATGGAATTTCACCGGGGTTTAAGCTGCAATAGATTTTCAGAATCACACACTCATGGGCGTGATCAAGGTGTAAGGCCTATAAAAACAACAGATTGCATCAAGCCATCAACAATTCCAACAACTCCAGTTGATAGTGATACCCCGGGGAGCTTCTCTGCTTCTTGTAGCAGTGGTTGTACAACCAATGTTACAAAGATGCTCAAGCGTAAAAGCCGATGGGATCAGCCGGCAGAAACAAACCCACTAACATCTCCTGAGCGTCAGGAACCAAAGACTCAGCCTAATTTGTTCAAAAATTCGTATTCAAGCACAAAACCTGAGGGTGATGAAGTGGGGCTAGGTCATACAGAAGGCAGAAGCAAAGAGGGACAAACTAGCCCTAGTTATGTGCACAATTTCCCTCGACCACTTGAAGCTGATAGGGCAGATGAAAGACAGCAGAATATTGACGAGGATGTTCCTCCTGGATTTTCGCTGCCTCTTAACAGACGTCTGGTTTCATCTAATGCTTCAACTGGTATTGATCTCCATGGAGACGAGGTTAGACATGCAAAGTGTCCTGTTGAAGTGGTTATGGGGTATCCACAGGGGAGGTTCAATTCTCGCAGGTCTGTCTCATATGGAATTCTGTTATCCGTTGTGCAGCAATTTGGGACACCTCATGAAGAAACTGTTGAGGGTTGGGTTATTGCTCCAGGCATGCCTTTCCAGCCTTTCCCACCGTTGCCCCCATATCCCCGTGACAAGAGAGAGACTCCTGCTTGTGCTGCCACTATGACAATGAGTAGGCCTGCAGAAAAAGTTGAACAGGAAAGCCGTGATCCTGCCACTTTCCCGTCAGATCAAGGAACTCCAACCACATCTGGTGCGAGCTCACCATATATGGATATTCAAGGAGCAAACATCCTGCATAATTCTCAACGAGTAAGGGACTCCAATAGTTTGGGAACGAAGAACTTCAGGCAGCAAAAGTGGAATAATTCAAAACTGGGGCCTCCCTGGCTCAGGAAAAGAAATGGTTGGGGATCCACGGGAAACAACTCAAGAAGTGGCATGTGCGGCATAGGCGTAGGAACCATAGGAAACGAGTTTAAAAGTCCAAACACCCCATACAGTTCAGAATATGTAGGCACTGCAGTGGAGAGTCCTTACAGTACATTTCAGCGGCATCCACAGCATCAAAATTAACATTGATTCATACTCCGAGAAGCTTTTAAACTTTCTTTTATGCTCAACCTGCTGTATTTTCAATTCATTGTTTCGGTTTTTTTTTTTTTCCCCCCTTTCACTCACAATGGAGAATTGTTTACTTTTCACTCCTATTCTTAAAGTCAATATTTATAGTTCAGGGGTGAGGTTACTTTAATTTGGCAATCTTCTCACATGGATATGGATATATACACCTCAAAGAGGTAAGCATTCTTCATTTTATTCCATTATGAAAACTAAGAGATTTGTGAAATAAAGCATTTGATCAATCTCTCTGTGTCCCCTTCACTTGATTATATGCATGTGCTCCAGACTCTCTGTTTCTTTTATACTTGATATGAAGAGTATGATGAAGAAGGGAACTTGTTTGGGGTTTGCATATTTAGTTCTGCAAAATATTCCACATTCATACTAGGTTTTTAGCATTTAGAGCAGGAAAAAAAATGCAGTTTTCTTGGATTGTCAACTACAGTGAACTGGTAGTAAATTTTGGATACCACACAGCAATGGGAGCACCGAATCGGTTGCTTGAGGAACTAAGGACAAGAAATTTCTTGGTTTTGAAGGAACAAAAAATTTCTTAAAATTCCATCTAATTTTTTTTTTTTTCTTGGTTTTGAAGGAACAAAAAATTTCTTAAAATTCCATCTAAATTTTATTTTTTTAAAAAAAAAATGCAATCCTGATGACTGGAAATTTTCATGAATAATTCATCGTCCAGTCAAGCTAATTCTTCTTGAATGCCTTATTTAGATTCAATGCCAATAATGATGGTTCGAGTCCACATGAACCCCTATAACACCATATAGATGGAAAAATATACACCGTCTTCCCATATAAACCAGCATAAAAGAGAATGAATCTTTCTGCTGCTTTTTAACGCTCGAAAAAAATCACAAGAAACTTCAAACACCTCACACCCCAGAAATAAAGGCAAAAAGCAATTTTTTAGTTGTATCTTCGCACGAACTTGTGACCTGGTGCAACCTTTACCGTTGGCACAATGCTAAGATAATTTGTTTGCTAAGATAATTTGTTTTCTGAGATGTGTATCTTAGATAAACTTTAGTAATGGGGACGTGTGCACATAGGGCTGCAATCGAGCCGAGTCAAGCCGAGCCGAGCCAAGCCGAGCCCTAGCTCAGCTCGGCTCAAGTGATAGAATGCTCAAGCTCAGCTCCAGCTTGAGCGGAGCCGAGAAATTTTGGTTCAAGCTCGGGTCGGCTCGGCTCTGTTCAACAAGCCTCGAGTCGAGTTCGAGCTATTTAAATTTTGCTTTTTTTTTTTTTTTTTTCTCTTTCGCATCTAACTGATCCACAAAAAAAAAAAAAAAAAAATGAGAGAAATAGATTTGCAGCAATAAAAAGAGAGACGTTTGAGAGAAAAAGAGAAAGAAAGTGATAGATTTGATCGAAAATTAAACTTCCCAGAGTTGATTTTGATGGAAGAAGTTGAGAGATGCACAGATCAATAGTAAACCCCAAAATCTATATTAAAAATCAGTTTGGATGAAAGACAATTAATACAAAAAAAATCAAATATGAGAAGAGAAAGAGAGAGAAGTAAGATTCTATGACAGAATGCAAATTGTTGAGTGTGTTGCCGCAGCTGCTTGGGCTACCGATAATTTTAGAAAAAGGACAGATGATTAGGGTTAGACATAAGACATGGGTTGGGTTTCATTGTACGGATGGGCTTGTGTTTGATTGTACAGATGGACTTGTTTAAAAATGAATAAATGATAAAATTGGGTCTAAAACATAACTAAAAAATTTAATGGGCTTGTGTTTGATTGTAGAGATGGGCTTGGGTTTTGTTTTAAAATGAATAAATAATAAATTGGGTCTAAAACATAACTAAAAAATTTAATGAGCCCGTGGACTAAGCCTTCATAACATAAAATTATATATTATAATTGGATATGTATATATATTATAATCGAGTATGTTTGCGAACGCCTTATCGAGCTCAGTTCGTGAACGGTTCATGAACAAATAAGCCGAGCCTACTGATGTTCAAGCTCGGCTCGTTTATGAATCAAGCTTCAAAATTCGGCTCGAGCTCGGTTCATTTATAAATGAACCGAGTTCGAGTCGAGTAATTAATAAGCTAAGTCCGAGTAGTTCACGAATGGCTCGGCTCATTTGCAGTCCTATGTGCACACAAAAAAATAAATAATAATAATAATAATAATAAAATTCTGCTCAATATCTATCTATTTCCTGTATAATTATTGCTCTTTTATCTCTCTCTCCTATGGAACAAGAAAGCCAGTGTCTCGCTGGAAATGGGAATTTACTTTCTCCTTATAGTTAATGTTTGGTTATAAACATTGTTGGAAATCATATCTATAAATTGACTGAATGATTATGGCAGATTTATTGGGTCTTCATTATAGGCTAATGTTTAGGCTTTTGTTTAAGGATTTGATTTTTATTCTGATTTGATTTTTATTTTCTTTCTATATTTGTAATTTTACTCTTGTATATAATGATAGTCAGGCTCTCAAATTGAGTATGCCAATTTTACCGAATTACTTTTTGGTATCAGAGTTTCAAACCTACGCCTCTCCTTCTTTCTCCTTTTCACTGCCTGTTTTCAATTTCTCTCTCTATCTCGTCACAGCCCCTTCCCTCTTTCTTTTTTTCTTTTCTTCACAGACTCTATCTCTTCTTCAAGCTACTGTTGTGACAGTCCTAGGGGGAGCCAATCTCCTCTAGGTTTGACCCCTGTAGGGGTATTTCCTTAGTCTTTCTCATGCACTGAGAGTCAGAAGACGTGTTTGCATTTTTTTGGGACTGTCGGGATATTCGGCAGCATTTTCGGATCAGACCGCCGTGTCTCCGGCTTCTTGGTTTGATCAAAATCAAGCTTATTTCTTATTTATTTGAAATTATTGGTGATCTGTTGAATTATTCTATTTAATATTATGGCTGATTCAAGTAATAATAAAGAAACTCTCTATTCGGCGCAACACACACCGTCTCAACGAGTTACTAGTGTGCTGTTGAATGGCCGTAATTTTGCATCCTGGACTATTTCCTTCCGCCTTTATGCTGGTGGAAAAGACAAATCAGGGTGGTTATTTTGCACTGAAAAGATGTCAGATATTAAAGGTCCTAATTATGCTCAGTGGAATATGGACAATTGCACCATTTTAGGATGAATGTTTAATTCTATGGAGGAACGAATTTATAATATATTCATATTTTATGAGTCTGTTCATGACTTGTGGATTACTTTGAATCAATTGTATGCTCATTCTAGGAATAATGCTCGTATTTTTGAGTTATACCAAGATATTGCTAAGGCCTCGCAGGAAAGCCTGAATTTGTCTATAGCTAATTACTTTGGGTATTTGAGATCTCGTTGGGAGGAACTGGCTCAATATGAGTCTCTCAGTTAATTTCCTCCCGAGGTAGCCTCTCTTCTAGTCAAACGTCTTGATCCTTAGCATACCTATCAGTTTTTTATGGGATTACGCCCAGAATTTGAACCACTTAAGTCTCAGATCTTGAATGCATTACCAATGTCATTCCTATTGGAAGCCTTTGCTACTGTTGATAGTGAAGAATGCATGCACCGTTTAATTCAGCCCTCACTTGTTCCTCTACAAGTGTCTGAGCCTGCTGGGGATAGTTTGGTTTTTGCAGCCAACTTTGGATTATGTACTTCTGGTGGTCAGATTATTTGTCATCATTATGGAGGGGTTGGACATGTTAAAGCTCGCTGCTTCAAACTTCATCCTGAACTGAAGCAGAAATTTTCTAGGAACTGTTTATCTAGAACTGGTTTTTCTCGTACTGCTGTTGTTGCAGGACTCCTGTTACTACTAGTGGATCTACTATATTTCCTGGACTGAGCCAGTTTCAATCTCAAATTGGGCAGATCCAAGACCAGCTTGGCTCCCTTGCTTCTAGAGTTGGTGCTCCTTCAGTTGCTCCCACTGCCACTGCTGCTACAGATACTCCTATTGCATTTCATGTTAAGGCCAAACAGCCTACTTGGGTTCTGGATTCTGGGGCCAATGATCACATAACTAGTGAGTTATCAGTTTTTTCTTCCAATGTCATACCTGTTACTCAATCTGTGTATCTTACGGATGGCTCTACATCTTACATTCACAGTAAGGGTGATGTTTGTTTGTCTCCTGATATTACTCTTTCATCTGTCCTTTATATACCTAAATTTGCCTTTAACTTTTTATCTGTTAGTCGGCTTGTAAAAAACCTCCAGTGTGCAGTTATATTCTTACCAAATCATTGTCTGTTGTAGAACCTTTGTTTGAAGAGGATTTTTGGCAGAGGTTATGAGCGTGATGGGCTTTCCTACTTTGGATCCCACCAGGAACGGGTCTTCAAGCTTCTGTCCTGCCTGTTTCTAGTGCTTATGATGTTTCTTTTCGCACTTTTAGTCTGTGGCATGCACGTTTGGGGCATGCCAACTTTTAATATCTATTTTTATTGTTTCCTTCGTTAAATAAAGCATGTAAGGACCATAAGTTTCAATGTGAAGTTTGTGATTTTTCTAAACATTCTAGAACTAGCTACATTTCTCATATGAGTTGTGCTCCTAGTATGTTTGATCTTATTCATTCTGATGTTTGGGGCCTATAATATCCCTAATTTTAAAATGATAATCTCTGTAGTTTATTTTATGGTTTTATTGTCATTTTTGCATTTTTATGTGTTTATTTGGCTATTTGCTTGGTTGTTGTAATTGTTGTTAATTAATTGAGTTAATTGCAGTATTTGTTTTATTTAATTATTTGATTTAATTGTTTTCTTTAATAGAATTTATTATTTCCCTTTAATTGAATTAATTGTTAAATGGTTTAGTTAAGTATTAATTGGTTTATTATAATTGTTTAATTGTGTAATACGTTAATGGGATTAATTTAGGATTTTGTTATTTTTCTTCACATGTAGCCGACTTAGTTCTCCGTATCATATTACACTTAGGCTTAGGTTTAAGGGTGGCTTATAAATATGTGTTAAGGTCTGCCTAGGGTTTTAGAACCCTATTCATGGCATAGTGAAGGCAGAGAGACGTTTAGAGAAGTCTGGGAGAAAACAGAAAGGGAAAACAGAACGTTCGCTGGAGAATTTAGGAAGACGACGGTGCAAGGTGTCGGATTGAGACCTAAAGGCAAGTTCTATTTCTAACTCTCTCCCTTTGGCTTATGTTCTTTACATGCCTAGTACAACTTTAGGAATAAACAACGATTAAAATTAATCTGGATTGCATGTTTGAGATGCTTTAAACATGACG